GTTCATGCTATACGTACAACCAAAAAAAGATTTTGTATTTCTATAAGTGGGGTCAAACTATGGAATAATTTAACTGTGGACATGAAAAATAGTACTAGAATTGAGGAGTTTAAACATAAATATAAATGTATGTGTTATACAAGATATATGCAAGAATAAGATTATTCGAGAAGGCATTAAGGAAATACTCTGTTTATTAATGTAGAGATACTGCTTGCAGCCAATGAAGCATTAATTTTTGTATAATATGATGTCATGGGGTAGGACTGGATAAGTCTGACTTCTTCCTACTCCATTCAAACATGTAATATGTGTAAGCAAACTGATTTTGGATTAGCATTGGTTAGATATGTGCAATTATGTGTGTTGTTGCCATTTGTTCATTTGTTCTGTTCTGCATGTTTGAAAGAATAAATCAATCAATCAATCAATCAATAACGCAGACTCAGTACTATGTTTTGATTTAAATCCAGACTGAAATTGCTCCTCAATGCCATTATTTAATAAATAATAAAAGATAAGATAAAAACAATCTTCTCCAGAACTTTAGACATAAAACATAATTTAGACACTGGTCTAAAATTAGAAAACACAATGATCAAGATTTGGCTTTTAGAGAAGAGGCTGGACAGTTGCTTTTTTTAAAAGCATCTGGAACTGAGCCTGTCCTTAAACATAAATTAATCAGAGCCATAAAGCTAGGCCCAACAGAGTCAAAAATATTTTTAAACAGTCTAGCTGGCAAACAATCCAAAGAACAGTGAGATGATTTCATGTGGTGAACCAGTTCAGATAGCATAGGCAAAGATACAGACTCAAACTGATCAAAGACAGCAGAATGCAGAGGAATATCAGCTGGGTCAGGATTTGTAGAACTGGAGGAATGTCTAATGCTAGTGATTTTATCAGTAAAATATTGAAGAAAACCCTCACATACTGCTACAGATGGCTCGGGATGAGAAGCAAGGTTTCACGGGTTGATAACAGAGTTAACAAGACCTGAGGTTTATGATGATTACTGGTGACAATGTTGGAAAGGTAGCTCGATTTGGCAGATTTTACAGCCTCCTGATAGTCAGAGAGACAATCCCAGAAATGAAGAGAAACATGAAATTTATCCTTCTTCCATTTGTGTTCAGCTTGCTGACATCTTTGTCTAAGTGCCCGAGTAGAATCATTTAGCAAGGGCACTGGTTGCATCTTGGCTGGTCTGTGTCGAAGAGGGGCGATAAAATCCAATATATCCTGGCAAGTGGTCGTTAATGAACTCAGTAGTTCCTCAGGATTCGTGTAAGAGGAGACATCATCCACCAAATACAGACCAGAGTTTTTAAAATGAATAGAAAACTCTCCTGCTGTAGAAGAAGTGACAGTACGTCTACAGGAATAAAAGGTCTGTCTACCAGTGACGGAGCAGCTACATTGAATAAAACAGGCAAGTGATCTGAAAACCGAGAGTCACAGATTTCGGTAATGGAAACAGGCAGTCCATGAGAGATCACAAGGTCCAGTGTGTGTCCACGCTCATGTGTAGGGCCATGCACCGATTGAGTGAGATTAAAAGAGTCGATATTTAAAAAGTCTTTGGCCAATGGGTCCTCAGGACAGCAGACGTGGATGCTAAAATCACCAAATATTAAACATTTGGCAGGATGAAACCCAAGAAATCAAAAAACTCCTGAATAAAGCCCCTGTTAAACTTAGGAGGATGATAAACCACTGCACACAGCAGTGGATAAGAAAGCTCCACCACAAACAGCTGTAGCTTGAGAAGTGTACTAGTACCGATCTTTAAGAACAAGGGTGATGTGCAGAGTTGTAGCAGCTACAGAGGTTTAAAGTTGATGAGCCACACAATGAAGCTATGGGAAAAAGTAGTGGAAGCTAGGCTAAGAAAGGAAGGGGATATCTGTGAGCAGCAGTATGGCTTCATGCCCAGAAAGAGCACTACTGATGCAATTTTTGCTCTGAGAATGTTAATGAAGAAGTATAGAGATGGTCAGAAGGAGCTGCATTGTGTCTTTGTGGATTTAGAGAAAGCGTACGACAGAGTGCCGAGAGAGGAGCTATGGTACTGTATGAGGATGTCAGGAGTGGGACAGAAGTACTTCAGAGTAGTTCAGGATATGTATGAGAGGAGTACGACAGTAGTGAGATGTGCTGTAGGTCAGACAGAGGAGTTCAAGTGGGAAAGAGGTGAAGAGGCGAGTGCAGGCAGGTTGGAGGGGGTGGAGAAAGGTGTCAGGAGTGTTGTGTGACAGAAGAGTGGCAGTGAGAATCAAAGGAAAGGTGTACAAGACAGTAGTGAGACCAGCTATGGTGTATGGGTTAGAGACTGTAGCAGTGAGGAAAAGACAAGAGTCAGAGATGGAGGTAGCAGAGATGAGGATGTTGAGGTTCTGTTTAGGAGGGACCAGGATGGACAGGATTAGGAATGAGCACATCAGAGGCACAGCTCAGGTCGGCTGTTTTGGGGACAAGGTCAGAGAGGCCAGACTGAGATGGTTTGGACATGTGCAGAGGATGGATAGTGGTTATACTGGGAGAAGGATGTTGGAGATGGAGCTGCCAGGCAAGAGGTCAAGAGGAAGGCCAAAGAGGAGATATATGGATGTGCTAAAAGAGGACATGAAGTTAATTGGGGTGAGAGTAGAGGATGCCGAGGATAGAGTTAGGTGGAAACAGATGATTCGCTGTGGTTTATTAGGTTCATTGAGAGTAAGTTTGACCCACTGGCTGGAGAATATTAATATTAGTACCTTAATATTATTAAGGTACTAATATTATTACTACTAATATTAATTACTATTACTAATTTACTAATTAAACTACTATTAATTATATTATTACTATTAATATTAATATTATTAATATTATTACCTTAATATTATTAAGGTACTGGGCCTGAGGTAATATATGAATATGCCACTAACTGAAAACTAAAGGTGTTATGATCAGTTCTAAATTTCAATTTAAAAGCCTCAACTAACTCATACTGTCTATTGTCAACAAGGCGACTATTCTAGAGCAGGGGTGTCAAACTGAAAGCAGGGGGCCAAAACTCAAAGCACACTTTAGGTCACGGGCCGAACAGGATAAAAACTTGTTGAACAAACTAAAACTAAATGTTTTTTGAACATTAATATGAATCGAAGTAGACAGGATACAATATTATTCCAAAATAAACAAACTTGAACTTAAAATCACCAACCATATTTCTGCTAAGCCTTACATTTGCAAACACCTGCTTTTTGTCAAGACACCAGACGTCGCACACTTTCATCATGCAGCTCTTCAGAAACTCTCCCTCGGCTGATTTTCTCCTCTCCACAATAAAACTTGCTTTCACAGCAGCTTCACTGTGTGATTTCGCTTTGGTGAAAACGTCTGCTGTGATGTCAGATTCCTCTTCAACTCCTCTACCTTCTGTAGCTTCTGCTCTGCATTCACGTTTTTCAGCTTGTCCTGATGTTTTGTCTCGTAGTGCCGTCTTAGGTTATATTCCTTAATTACAGCCACATTAGCTCCACAAATAAGACACACGGGTTTACCGACAATGTCAGTCAACATATACTCAGCCTCCCTCCGGTTTTGAAAGGCTCTGTTTTCATAATCAACTTTTGTCTTGGCCATTATTAGGGGCCAGCTTTGATTTGAAATTTGGGTTGTATACATCATGTGAAGGCCTCAGTCCTGGCCTTCACCATGTGAGGGCCGAAACCACCACCAGCCATGGACTTGGGTGGGTAATTTATATTAGACATACACAATTGATCAATGAGCATGCACGTTTGATTAATTTTGTATTGTTAATGTTTACCTTTTCTTTTGAGTTACCATGTTTCCTGGTCCATGGATGGGGGGGTGGTTCAGCTAAAAGATTGGACTGAGGAAGCAGCAGGTTTAAATACCTCCCACTAGGCCTGGACTGCACCAAGTGCCCAATACAAGAAAGGGGGGAGTTTGGGAGAAATTTATTGTTTATTTGTTGGTAGTTTATGTTAGAGCTTTATTTGTCAAGTTATGTTAATTTCTTTATATTTAAAGGAAATATTTAGTTGAGCGCAGACTGTCTGTTTAGTGTTTATTAGTTGATTGCTTTGGCAGTGTCTTTAGTGTACCCCTTGTGTGTGTTATTGGTTTGATCAGCCAGTATATATGTTCCCCTGTGTGTGTGTGTGTCATTTGCTAGGTCAGTTGGTTTTGTTGAGACAGTTCAGTTTGCTGTAGTTTGAGTTTCCTTATCTTTTGTTGACCTCTTTTAGGGCCCAGTTTATTTGATGTTAATTTTGTATTTTTCTTGCTTTTGGGTTAATAAAAACCCTTTATTTTGAACTTTGGAAGCTGTGTCTTTTTGCCTTACTGCTTGGTCCCTGACACATCACCAGACACTTAATTGATCTGACGAGGGAATGATCGCAGGTAGCCTATCGTTCGGTAAGGCAGCTGTTGTGCTGCATTAAGGAATTTGTAGTTTGTGTGTTACCGGCTCTTCATATCGCCGGGCCATTAAAAAAAAAGATATATAAAATGATCTCGCCAGATGTAATTGTACGCCGGGCTGGATGTGGCCTGCGGGCCTTGAGTTTGACACGTGTTCTAGAGGGAAGTGGCATGACAGGGACTGCAACCGACTTCTTTTAAACTCTGGGGACAGACATTAGCCCTGTATTCTGAGAACACATAAGACAGGAGACGCCAAATTGTGAACAGATTTGTTGACTAAGGCACCACCACAACCACCTCGTTTCATAGTCCAAGCAACATGGGCATTTGTAAACTCAGGTGGGGAAGCTATATTAAATGGTAATAATATATTTGGTTCAAGCCTGTCATATCCACATTATAGTGATGTATCAGATTGTAATAATTTGTTGTCCATCATTGACATGTTTAGGGAATTTGTTAGTAATGCAGTAGTGGGTTTTCTTCTTTTTCCCCAACAGATACAACAACTATGACCGGTCAGTGATTAACACAGTCCCTCATGACACTGTTCAGCGGTGGTATGTGGCACATCGGGAGCTGACCACTGAACTAAGGCGACCAGAGAATGAGCTGTGGGTGAATCTGACTCCCGGAAAAGTAAGAAAGTTCCACTAATTAAGTTTGTGCTCCTAAATCTCTTAATTCAGAAATGCCAGAGCCAGAAAACAATTACAAATGCTTCTCTAAAAATCAGTTTCAGTCAATCAATGTATAGCTCTAGGATTGTGGAAAGTAAATAAACAAAAAGCCTCCAAAGTAAGTGTAACTCGGTGTAATCTAGATACAGTATTATGTTCTCTCTTTTCTTAATAAGGTGATTTTCATAGACAACTGGCGTGTCCTGCATGGCAGGGAGTCATTTACTGGCTTGAGGCAGCTCTGTGGATGCTATCTGACCAGAGAAGACATCCTCAGCACTGCACGCTGCTTTGGTCTGCAGGCCTGATCATGAAGGGCCCTTCACATCTGTGCCTCATCGGTTAGCCTATAATATAGGTTTGTTTAAATTTGCACTCTGCCCTCGTCATTCAGAGCAAGCAGTCTTACTCCAGATGCATAATGTGTTTTACTCATCCTTGTTAATTTCTTGTCATTACATTTTTGTAATTGCTGTTTTTGTTATTGTATCATTTTAAAGGTTCATCTATCTTGAACCAATTGAAAGTACAAATCCTCTACGTCTTGCTATTGTTGAGCTCATGTGATCACATTAAGTGATGTAATTGAGAGAGGGATTGCAAAAAATACATCAAGGAGTCAATAACATTACCCTTGTCACAGCTTTTATTGGTTATTTCAGACAAAATGTAACACTTCCTCAAAGAGCCAGGGTATACTGGTTTATAAATTTTTCTCAGTACAGTAACATCTGAGGGTATAAGGAGGTAGCTGCCACTATACAGTGCCTTGCGAAAGTATTTGGCCCCCTTGAACTTTGCGACCTTTTGCCACATTTCAGGCTTCAAACATAAAGATATAAAACTGTAATTTTTTTGTGAAGAATCAACAACAAGTGGGACACAATCATGAAGTGGAACGAAATTTATTGGATATTTCAAACTTTTTCATCCCCTTTACTTTCAGTGCAGCAAACTCTCTCCAGAAGTTCAGTGAGGATCTCTGAATGATCCAATGTTGACCTAAATGACTAATGATGATAAATAGAATCCACCTGTGTGTAATCAAGTCTCCGTATAAATGCACCTGCACTGTGATAGTCTCAGAGGTCCGTTTAAAGCGCAAAGAGCATCATGAAGAACAAGGAACACACCAGGAACACACCAGGCAGGTCCGAGATACTGTTGTGGAGAAGTTTAAAGCCGGATTTGGATACAAAAAGATTTCCCAAGCTTTAAACATCCCAAGGAGCACTGTGCAAGCGATAATATTGAAATGGAAGGAGTATCAGACCACTGCAAATCTACCAAGACCTGGCCGTCCCTCTAAACTTTCAGCTCATACAAGGAGAAGACTGATCAGAGATGCAGCCAAGAGGCCCATGATCACTCTGGATGAACTGCAGAGATCTACAGCTGAGGTGGGAGACTCTGTCCATAGGACAACAATCAGTCGTATACTGCACAAATCTGGCCTTTATGGAAGAGTGGCAAGAAGAAAGCCATTTCTTAAAGATATCCATAAAAAGTGTCGTTTAAAGTTTGCCACAAGCCACCTGGGAGACACACCAAACATGTGGAAGAAGGTGCTCTGGTCAGATGAAACCAAAATCGAACTTTTTGGCAACAATGCAAAACGTTATGTTTGGCGTAAAAGCAACACAGCTCATCACCCTGAACACACCATCCCCACTGTCAAACATGGTGGTGGCAGCATCATGGTTTGGGCCTGCTTTTCTTCAGCAGGGACAGGGAAGATGGTTAAAATTGATGGGAAGATGGATGGAGCCAAATACAGGACTATTCTGGAAGGAAACCTGATGGAGTCTGCAACAGACCTGAGACTGGGACGGAGATTTGTCTTCCAACAAGACAATGATTCAAAACATAAAGCAAAATCTACAATGGAATGGTTCACAAATAAACATATCCAGGTGTTAGAATGGCCAAGTCAAAGTCCAGACCTGAATCCAATTGAGAATCTGTGGAAAGAACTGAAAACTGCTGTTCACAAACGCTCTCTATCCAACCTCACTGAGCTCGAGCTGTTTTGCAAGGAGGAATGGGCAAAAATTTCAGTCTCTTGATGTGCAAAACTGATAGAGACATACCCCAAGTGACTTACAGCTGTAATCGCAGCAAAAGGTGGCGCTACAAAGTATTAACTTAAGGGGGCTGAATAATTTTGCACGCCCAATTTTTCAGTTTTTTATTTGTTAAAAAAGTTTGAAATATCCAATAAATTTCGTTCCACTTCATGGTTGTGTCCCACTTGTTGTTGATTCTTCACAAAAAATTACAGTTTTATATCTTTATGTTTGAAGCCTGAAATGTGGCAAAAGGTCGCAAAGTTCAAGGGGGCCGAATACTTTTGCAAGGCACTGTAACTGCAGGTTTTTGTCATTTGGGAGGTTTTGGAGTCCTGAATTAATAACATGAAAGAGGGAGGTCTGCAGGGAACTCTGTTCGCAGGTTCATAGTAGTCTATTACTGAGTGAATATCTCTGTCGTAAAACCTCAAGCAGTGTTTGGAGCTTTAATATGTTTCAAATATGCCACTTTAGTGTGAGAGGTTAAGCTTTATTCCTATGTCCAGGGGTTAGCATATCATGACTTTCATACAGACTGTTATAGCAATGTTTGCTATTTAGCGTTAAAGATGAAATACAGCCAAGGATAATGGGAATGTCAGGTTTTCAAGTATTTAGGCAGTTTTGGTGAATTTGGGAAAATCATGTCACATGCATATATCTGTGTGTATGGAGTTTAAATGCAGTGCTTACTTTTAACTTGATTTTGATATATGCAGATATGTTGTACAGCAGCAAGTAAAGAATTTTTATGCATACCTGCATCTTTACATGATTGTGTATATTTTAATTAGTGAACCAAAGTCAACTTCAAATTTTAATGCACACAGTTAATTTGCAAAGGAACAAATGAGCCACTTTGTTTAGAGTTCCAAGGAATTAGTTTGTGAAATGTCAAATCTAACAAATGTCAAATCACACAAGGATAATATCATCCTACCGCAGTAATAGGACACATCACTGGCTGGGACGAAGCAGCCTACAGGAGGGACGTGGCTGTTCTGGTGTCACGGTGCGAGGACAATAATCTCACCCTCAACACGGACAAGATGAAGGAGGTGATAGTGGACATGAGGAAGGAGAGGAGATCTCATCAGCTGCTGTTCGTCCAGGAGCTTGAAGTGGAGAAGATGTGCAGCTTCAAATACCTGGGCGTTCACATCAGTGAGGACCTTACTTGGACACTCAACACCACACAGCTGGTCAAGCAGGCTGTACTTCCTGAGGAGGCTGAGGAGGTTTGGCATGCCACCTTTGCAACTTCTACAGCAGCATCATTAAGAGCATCTTGACCAGCTGCATCACTGTCTGGTATGGCAGCACTACTGCTATGGACCACAAGCGCCTGCAGAGAGTGGTAAAGACTGCGGAGAAGATCACCAGGACTCCACTGCCCCCTCTGCAGAGCATCTACCAATACAGAGTCCGCAGAAAAGCTGCCTCCATCCTAAAGGACCCCGCCCACCCCCTGCACGGACTGTTCACACCTCTACCCTCAGGCCGGAGGTACAGGAGTGTGAAATGCAGGACCTCTAGACTGAAAAACTCTTTCTTTCCAACTGCCATCAGACTCCTAAACAGCTGACAGGTATACAATCAGGACTTACTTCATGTAATTCCGCTTGTACTGTTTACATTCCAAGTTTGCAAATGCATAATTGCACACTCACTGCCACCTATTGCACATCCAGCTCCAATGTAGCATACATTCTGTCTTTATTATATTCTTTATATTTTCTTTTTTTATTACATTTGTTTCCACTTGCTGTTTTTAAGTGCCATCAGATTTTGTGTACTATTTATCTACCTTATATTTCACCTTGTATTGTTTGGCATTCATTGTGGACAGAAAAGTAAGAATTTCATTGTACATGGAAACATGTTTCCTTACTGTGCACATAACAATAAATGCTTTGAGTCTTAACATATTCACACATGACTTACAATATATTTGTCTATAGACTAGAGATACATTTATATATCTTAATTGTGTTGATGCTGATTCAGCATCCACACCATGTTTTCCTGGTATTTATTTATTGTGTGGATGCAAAGCAACCACACTATGTTATCCTAGCCTTTATTATTATTGTATGGATGCTGAAAAGCATCCATACTTTCATAATATTTAGCTTCCGTCATTCCATTTTCCTCCGCTTATCCGGAATCGGGTTGCGGGGGCAGCAGTCTAAGCAAAGATGCCCAGACTTCCCTCTCTCTAGACACTTCCTCCAGCTCCTCCGGGGGAATACCGAGGCGTTCCCAGGCCAGTCGAGAGACATAGTCCCTCCAACGTGTCCTGGGCCTTCCTCGGGGCCTCCTCCCGGTGGGACATGCCTGG